CCCCAAAACCCCAAAACCCCAAAACCCCAAATTGCCAATAAAACGTTGAAATTATAAGTTATGAGTGAAATGCTGGAAATTTCAGACTCACACTGGCCAAGTCCATTGGATTCGTGGGCTTGATTAACTTCCCTTTTTGGCTATTTGATTTTCATTTTTGTGCTCTCAGCTCCTCACGTAGTGCGGAAAAGTCAATAATCTCACCATTTTGATTCAGAAGGATCTGAGGAGACTCATTAAATTGCATCATATTGTGCTGCAAGTCTAGGATCTTCACATCAGGTGCTAGCATTCTTGATGATTTCTTCTTTTTCCTAATCTGGTCCTCCAGTCTTAAATTTTCATCTCCCTGAGCATCTGAGATCTGATTTGCTACTAAATCAGGGAAAGAGCTCTTTTGAGATTTTTCTTGGGCAATAATTGGAATCGAAGGTTTGACTTCTGAGGGATTCTTATATCCCCTATGACTCTTCTTAGTCGGGACAGGGCTTCCAAAGGTTTGCCTGACTACCTTCCGGGTCTTATCTTTGTTCTCTTTAAAATAAGTAGCCTTGGTTGCAACCTTCCTGTTATTTCGTATCGTTGTTGTAATTTTCATTAATTTGTAGCCTTCGAGTTATCATCTGATTATCTTTTGAGATATTAGGCTGCTCTTTCGTATTTATAATGATCCCTTCATGAGGAGAATTGACCTTGCTTGATTCATTTTTAGCCAAAGTGGCCTTCACCTGCTTCATTGGGTTATAATTTTCATTTGTAAAGCTCATGTTAAACTCGTCATTCTGACTGGGAGGATATCTTGGAGAAATGCCTCCCATTCCTCTAGGTTGTTGGGCAGCAAGATTTTTATTCTTCTCATTCATTTTATTAAAACTAGGTGTTCCATCCTTTCGAGATAAAGCATGAGGCTTAGCTTCATTTTGATAGTCTTTCCCTTCAGGATCACATTGTTTGGTTCTCTGGAATGTTGGTGAAGGACTAAAGTAGCTACTTCCATCTCTTTCATTTGAAAATCTACGAATTCTTTCCATTTTGAATTCATTATTGTCTAACTCAAGCAATCTCTCAACTTCTTCCTCCATTATCTCAGTAAAATCATCGAAGTATTTATGTGTAAGGAGGGATTTGCAGTCTTGCCTCTCTGATGGGTCCATAACAAGTCACTTTTTCAAAAGATCTAAAGCGTCAGGATTGATATCTCTGAACCTTTCGTCTAAATCCTCCTCAATTTCATCGATCTTGATGTGCTTGAAAGAGGGATTTTTCAATAGCATTGCCTTGTGCTTATCATTGAATTGATCTCCGAAGATTTGAACTATTAGAAAAAGTGTCTGAATGTCACTATCTCCGGGGAAGAGAGGATCTCCTGTGAGTATCTCAGCATATAAGCACCCTATGGCCCACACATCAATAGCTTTGCCGTAATTCTGGTCTCCTATGAGTAGCTCAGGTGCTCTATACCACCTAGTAGAAACATACTCTGTATAATCTTGTTTTCTCCCTGCTAAAGTTCTTGCAAAACCGAAATCTCACATTTTCAAAATACCGTTTTTCGAAAGCAGGAGGTTCTCAGGTTTGATATCTCTGTGAATGATATTATGGTCATGTATAAAAGCAACAGACCTGAGCAATTGCCAAATAATTTTCTTTGCCCATAATTCACTGACCCCAGAAGGATGACTCTCAATCTCCTCCAATACAGTCCGATCTACATATTCAAAGACCAGGAGAATTTTCCCTTTGTCTCTGAAAACCTCGATCAAGTTGACTATATGATCATGCTTAAGTTCCTTGAGGATTCTGATCTCCCTCAGAGCTGTCTTCCGGACATACTCATCATTATAGCTATCTTTGAACTTATTTAATTGCTACACTTTTGCCTGTCTCAAGATGTCGAGCTTTGTAGACAACCCCATAGGTACCTTCTCCAATCTTCTCAAGAATTTCATAGTTGTCAAGCTTGTGATGTGGCTCCTCACCTGAGTCTTTGTAAAGAGTCATTGGAGGTTCACTTTCCAAATTCATCTTAAATTTAAATTATTTCTATATATTTTCTCCAGGAGGGGTTTTGGGGTTTTGGGGTTTTGGGGTTTTGGGG